ACATTCTGTGATTCTGTGATTCCGTGAAACAAGAAATACTAATGAAGTTTCTGACTGTGTCTTTCAGTACTTGATGTTCGAGCAACTCATTTTCTTCAGCTCCACTTTATGCCCATTTGCTTTGTTTCCTTTACAGTCACTAAGGGTGCATTTAATAAGCTTAAACAAAAATCATTCACATGAGGTAATTATGAAAAATCTGTTTATTTTCTTTGATCTGGATTAAGGTGATTTGGAAAAAGATTTCTTACCAGTTGCCACTGAATTAATCTATAATTATTATTGTTAATGATTGAGTGTTTGAGTCTGCTGAATATCCTTGTCAAAATTTCTACTGGTTTCAATTGATCTTGTCAGAATCAGGCCCCTTAATCTTCCACTTGTAGCAAATGGGAAGCTGCAAATAAGGGGGAAAAAAGTCCCTGTTTGTGACATGCTGAGAAATTAATTGATACCTTCAGTAGTTGACATTAATGAGTATTGGGAGGAGTGTGAGGCTGATGGATACTGATGTGAATGTCTGTATAATATCAGCTGTTATTTACATGCCCAAGGACAACTTCTGGAGTTGCTTATAGGAAGGGGAAGAGGAAGAAAATAAAATAAAGAGGACATCATAAAAGCTTCCCGACAGCGTAAGGATTTAACACTGTAGTGTAATATCTACTGCATCAAAGTTCCTGTACGGCCATTTTCTCTTATTTGAATAATTTACTCATTTTACAGTTTCTTCATGCATGTTTACCTTTTTCATTCATTTTAATTTAATATCAACTTGCAACTCTTAGATAGCACTGCAGTGCAATGGTGTTAGGAAGTGGGCTTGAGCTCTGGAGTGTAGGAAAATATTGAATGCTATTATTTTCATTCTATACCACTGAAAAGTAGGTAGGCCCTTCCAAAACTCAGTCTCCTATTTACAACTACAGCATGGCTATCCACACTACCCATGAATCTAACCTTAGTGCACCAATACAACCAGCCTGACAAAACATATAGTCTAAACTGTAGATGTGATTGAACTAAGATTTATCAGAGGGAATCTCAGGAGACCACACAATCCTCCTCTGCCAAAGGCAGCTACCATTAGCCCTCTGTCCTTCCTGGCAGTTGCTGAATTATCTTCTTCTAACTGAAACATTTGCAGTGACAAAAAATCCACAGTTTACTTCTGAAATAGGTATGATGAGAATAATAAGGGAAGAATAAAAGAGTAAGGACAATACATTCAGACTGTAACACAGTTTATGTTTAACAGTCATAACGATTTGACTAACAGGAAAAATAAGGAAGACAACAAGTCATTTAGGTACTCCTTGTGGCTTCTTGTGCCAATAGAGACATGCTGCCTGGCCCTTGCATCCCTCCAGAGGGACATATGTCATGTCTGTTAGTCTTGTGTAGGTACATCACATACCCAGGGGTCCTACTGATGCACCATAAGCTTATGTGTAGACATCTGAACTGAAGCCCAGCCAACTGCTTTATCTGTGAGCTGAATCAGTCCTAGACTTCACTGACTGGCTCTCCTTTGGCTGTAACGGCAGCCTTGAGTGCTGGTTGACATATGGACACCTATATATGGTCATCTTCATCTGGATATCTCACTCCATAGATGATTTCCTGAGCTTTGGCAAATAAGTGTAGAGATAACATATCATTACAAGAAAAAGTACATTTTCACGTTCAGCTGAAAGGATTTCCTGTGTCACATACACATGCACCCACATCTATATACATCCAAACCTCACTAGCAGGGCTTGTTATGCATTAAGATTCCTCCTTCTTATTCTTGCCAAAATCACATCATTTTGAAGTGGTCTGCCTTGTTCTGGTTTTCAGCAAATGAGGAGGCACATACCCAGGTGTCAGGGGTCTCACTCATCTGACTTTAATGGAATCAGCACTTAAGTCTGTTTAAATGAATCATTAAGATCCAAACAGCTGAGGGTTATTTTCTGTTGCAGACTTGGTTCTCTAACTGTGCTGAATTAGATGCTCACTTAACAGGGGATTCCCACATCATCAGACAGGCAGGTACTGCAGGTACAAGACTGCATAATAAATGTTGCACCTAAAATGTAATTATAATACTAAAATAAGATATTACTTGAGACATGTCTTTTTTTCTTTCTTTCTTTCCTGCAAATTGACTGTTTTTCCTTTTTTTTTTTTTTTTGTATATTATACTATGAGATTTTCAGTTGTGATGTATTTGTAGTGGGTCTGAATGGAATTAAAGTGCTGTCTTTTGCTTTACTCCATCTCAGTCAAAGTGATATGATGTTATAAATGCTGCTCTTACTTTGCAATCTGTGTTTTATAACATCTTCATCTCTGCACTTTGTCTAACCAAGAAACATAGAGAGAAGCTTAAGGAAGCCCAGTAACAGTTTAATATGCTCTGTTTTATGCCATTGAGTCCTTGATCCTTGTTGATTAATTTTATTGTTTCATAGTTTCACTCTCTAGAAAAAAAAATAGGTGGAAAATGCAGTAAAATCAAATCTCTAATTATTTTCATTTAGGAGGAAATGTGTAAAAATGAATGTTCTGGTGGATTTTAGCACGTACAATTTCAGTTGCAACCATATGAAAATACCGAATGTTTGCTTGTGTGGGTCTGCGGAGGGTTTGAAGAGAAGGGGCCAAGGAAAGAGGAGAGTTACATATGAACTTTGACATTTTAGAAGCCTGACTTCAGTCTTGAATTTCCTTGTGAAACTTGGGCAACTAGGCATTACACTCTGAGAGACAGCAATGGTATTAGCTGGAGACCTAGCCAGAGCTTCAAACACAGTCAGCTCCTACTGATGGTTTAAGGAGATTTCAGGGTGAATCAGCTTACTTTGGCCCTGTTCCCAGAGCAGATTTACCCTCGCTGGCTTGCTTAAAGCTGCAGCTGACTCCTGCAAAAGCTTTGGGTACAAGTGTATAGGTTCCCTTTGCCTCTCTAGGATTTGTAAAGATTTGTCTGAGGTTGACTACAAAGCTTCATTCTTACTAGGCAAGATCTTGAATAATAACGTGAAGTCCCATTCGTTTGGCCAGTACTCAATTCCTGAGGCACAGTCAGCTTTCACATCTGTTTCTACGTCCTACTTAAAGTTTTCTCTTCCCCAGTGGATTTAGTTTATCCCTGCTCCTTTGATTAGTGCAGTCTCCACCACAGGTTGCCAGAGAGAGAGGAGACAAGCTGAAATAAATACCATAGGCCAGATTTTTCTAGGATCTAATGAACCAGTTTTGCAAATCGTTATCCTGCTCCCCAGTAATGACTGGTCTTCATTTTAATGTTCTGTCTTCTCAACATTTACTCTTTGAGTGCTAATACTGCACTTACTGTTTCAGTGATTCGCCATCATAAAAATGCTTCCCTGGCTCGACTTGTAACTCCTGCTGCCCCTATATGCTTGCAGCTCTGTCCTCAAATTATTATGGTCTCTGTTCCTGTGCACTGATTGTCTCCTGTGAGTGCCAAGACAGCAGAATACATTGGGCAAGTTTACAGCTAATCTTGGGCTCCTTCGTTTTGCTTGTCTGTGAACTGCAAAAAGTTTCAGCAGCTCAGGTATTTCTGCTCAGTAGAAAAGAATCTTCTAAAACAATGATCCAATCGTACAGTAATATGCTGTTTCAGTCTATAAGGATACTGCTAATATGTATTTTAGAAATGAAATTCAGTATTTGCTCCTAGGGTAAAGGATGTCTCTAGCTAGGTGCCAGACAAGTGTGATTTCTCCACAGTATAAGCCTAATGAAAGAGACTCTCTTTGATATCCTTGGCATGCAGATACTGGATCAGCTCCTATGGCTGTTGGGAATGCTTGAGTGTGACAGTGGAAACTTTATGTGGGAAGGGATTATTAGTGGGAGGAAAGAGGTTTTTCATTTATTTCCAGCATAAAAAGGGGAAAAAAGGATGCCCTGGAGGAATACAATCTAAAATGGATTATTCATTATCTCAGCTGGTGTTTCCGAATCCTTGGCCTAGTTTCCAGACTAACTCTGATGAAACCTTTCTCACCATCAGCAAGGACATCTCTGACTAACATAACACAAGAATCACTATATCCTTTTTTGCCGACAACGTAAAGGTACTTTATTTCAGAAGTAAAATAAACCAAGATTGTACTAATCACAAGCAGGAAACATCCAGCAACAGGCTTTTAAATTTTTTACAGTATTTTTTTCAACCACTTTCACATTCATCTTAGAATTATGAAAACCTAACTGCAAACTTTTTCTTTCTCTTTGATACGTTTATGTATAGGAACATCATTGTCTCAGAATAAAGATCCTGGGGGACTGTTACTATTGTGTGTCAGGGCTCCCAGAACCTCGCCAGGACCATGCACACTGCTGTGTTGAAATGGGGCTCAGCATGATCAAAACTATCAGGTAATGCATTTTTTCTCTTCTTCGTGTTTCATTATTTCTGACAGTGTCCTGAACTTCTTATCTGAGAATGCTATTACTAGACAAGTAATTCCTGTGGTGGTTCAGAGACCTCAGGATTATCGCTGTGAAAAGGGCAGGATTTTTTCAATCCATGTAATGCATGGGAAGAGATACTAAATGCATTTTATTAACCTGTGCTGCTTCAAAGCGTGTAACACAACAGCTTTGTGTGCATTACAAGTGATAGGTTTCACAGATCTTAACAGTTCTCACTTTGCACTGTTGTCATTTTCAAGCGGAGGTTGAGGAGGAGGAGACTTAATTGCTCCCTATAATCCCTTTAGTAAAATAAAACAGCAATATAAACACTAAATAGACAGCTGTGGCAATACTTTAGTTGGAAACGATAGCTCATAGACAAACTCATAAGCACTAAGATTTGCCAGATGAGCAAATTTTACTTGTTAAATTAGGTTGGTGCTTAAATTCACAAGAGCTGGAGGTGTTTTAATGAGGGAATGTGTTCCCATCATGTAAATATAGTTGTGTTGCTGACAGATTATTGTATTTTGAAGCAATCAGGAGTAATAATGTTTCAGCAGTCCATGCATAGAACTTGTCCAATGATTTACTGTGACAGTGGCCAACATCTAATGTTCCAAGAGAGGTTTTCTCCATCTTTTTTATCCTCTATATTAATGTTTCTGAACTCCCCTTCTCCATATCCTCCTTCTGCTTCTGTCTTCGCTAAAACAGTGTTGACTGACCTGAGCACCCTCCTCTTTCCATGGATGTTTTGCTGTCCAAGATCTTTGTCTGCTTCTTCTTTAGACTCCTTTCCTCCTTTAATCTGAGTGTATCTCGTTACATACATCAGGCAGTTAACGTGTACTGCAGCTGCATTACTGAGGTCTTAATAGAGAAAGAATTTGACAAAAATTAATTAATGGAAAATGTAACTGAATAATGGTTACGTGACAATGATCTCTGAGAAGGTTGGATTCAATTGTCACAGACTAAATGCTGCGAAAATTAATCAATATTTTGCTTCTGGAGTCCCCACAGTGAAAGTGAAACATGAATTAGAGAGCGTACATAGATGAAAAAAGCTACCAGCATTGTTAAAAACTCCTGGAGACACACATCAAATGATTTGCATTTGCTTCATAATACCATCTGCAGAAACCCATTGTAAGTCATTTTTCTTCTAAGATAGTAAATTTCTCTGAATCTCCTTACACATGTGGAAGTCTCTAACACTCCAAGCCCTTTTTATGAACTGGATCTCAAAGGCCCAGCAGAAATGGTATCATAGTTTTAGTATCTTAAATTACAGTTATATTCAGTGGGACTTGTGAAACCAAAGTCCATTTGGTCATCCCAAGATAATTCAGTTTAGATTGCTTTCAATTTACCTGGTAGTCCTGGTATCTGAATTTCTCACCATCATCAATGAGCACGAATTTTTACCCAGGCTTTTCTGTCCAGAGTATAGAAGCCTTACGTTACTTATCTTAGTGTGTGTTCATGTAGTTCATAAGGAGGACCAGTTCTTCCATGGGATATTACAAATACTTCAGTCCATATTTCTGAGAGAATTTGGAGTTATTTACAGTGTATTAATTAGAACTTAAATCAGTAGATATCTCTCACAGTGAAAATGGAAAAAAATGCCTTTCTTAGAAAACAGAATTCCTACTATATTGGTCACTGCAGAATTTGATCAGATGTAAAACCTGATAGAAATTACATTTTGTATGATTATAAAATTTTTTACCTTCATCTAAAGATTTCACAAAATAAATATTTTGTATGACCAAAATAATAGGGAGACGATCCAAGATACGAGAAACTATCATTCAGGCTTCACAATTACATTGAAGTTATACAGATGAACTCAAAGCCTTCTTGCAAATCAGAGGATCTTTATAGGAAACTTCCAAAAATTTCATTAATCATAAAGCCTACATGAACAGTTGGTTCTTCTCCCTCTCACAGAGCAAGGGTTTTTAAATCTTAGCTATATTTTAGCTCAAGCACTTAGCCTACTTTAGGAATTAGACATTAAAATAAAAACCAGTATTTATGCTACGACAGCACACCTATAATTGGGATTTAGGCACCTAAATCGTGGTGAGCAATCCAGGTACATTTGGAATTCCTGATTCTTGTAGTGGTTGAAGTTTTTTATACAATTAATGTAGAAGGAAGCATTAAATTAGGCAGACCAGATTTTCCCCTGCTGGTCCTCCAAGATTCCTGTTCTCTCCTTTGAAAACAGATGAGATGCCCATCTCAGGGTACCTTTTCTAAATTTCCCTTCCAGTCTTCTTGATGA